TTACACATGCCTTATGCATGAGGATGGTCAAGTGGAGGGCTGGTGTTCCTCTCATTTATTTCCATCTCTCTATTTCTTGCCAGGGGTTAAGTCAGCAGAAAAACAAGGGACTATCCACAAGGTTTGAATCCAGCATCGCGGGGACCTGCGGGACCGTGTCCCCTCCGATCCCATTATCTCCACAACAGCATTTTTCTCCTTTTGAAGGACTTTGTGCCGGAGTTTTCACGGGCTACAAATGACTTTGATTCGGCCTCATACGGGCGTGCATCAGAGAGCATTCAGTTGGACAATGCTCCCAGCTTTGCTTTTTCCCTTCTTCCCTTTCTTCTGTCTCTCTGCTCCGGGAGGATCCAACCGTTTCAAAAGCAGCGGCATCTTTCAGACTCCACAAAACTTCTCAAATCCTTCGGCATCACTCAGAAAGGCCAAACACCTGCTTCCCAGGCAGGTTATTTAATCTGTGCAAGTCCTCCCACTCTTCTCTAGATTAAATTAATTTTCCTTCCCCCGGAAAAAGCCGTTTTTTCTGCATTTATGCACCTTTCCACCTGCTTAGGGAGGATCCAACCGTTTCAAAAGCAGCGGCGTCTTTTCAGACTCCACAAAACTTCTCAACTCCTTCAGCATCACTCGGAAAGGCTAAACACCTGCTTCCCAGGCAGGTTATTTAATCTGTGCAAGTCCTCCCACTCTTCTCTAGATTAAATTAATTTTCCTTCCCCCGGAAAAAGCCGTTTTTTCTGCATTTATGCACCTTTCCACCTGCTTAGGGTTTGTTTTGGGGTTGTTTTTTTTTTTTTTTTTCCCCTCCCTTTTTTTTTTTTTTTTTTTTTCCTCCCTGTTGAAATTTAGACTCTGCAAAGCAGCAGCTTTGGCAGCCAGGTTCTGGAGCCTGGAATCTATCAGCCCTGAGAATTTGCCACGATTTCGAAAACTCAAAAAGCAAGAGCCCACGGGAAGAGTGAAAAGCTGGAGAAGGAGCCTCTGGAAGGAGGGTGCTTATCGAATGGGAAAAAAAAAATAAAAGAGAAAAGAAAGGAGATTGTAACCTACAGAGGACAGCACAAGACAGCTCAGGAAAGATGGATACGATGAACGGATGAATGTGAACGGGTAGAAAGGGAACTTTGGGTGAGGAAAGAACTTGAATTTGGCTTCCCCAGCCTGCCAGTGGGTCCTTCAATGAAATACTTGCTCAGCCCCAGGTAGATCCCGAAACCAGAGCTGGGAGCACCTTCCTCAGCTGGCCAGAGGTTTGTCTCCTCCAGCGAGGAGCTGGGACCATGTGGAGGAGCTGGTGGGTTTGCCTGACCCCATAAAAACAGGGCGGGTAGAACAGGGTCCCCCAAAGAGGGTGAGGAAGGGACAAGTGCAGAGGAGGACAGAGGATGGGGGATCCTTGTGTTTAGAAGGAGAGGGACAAGGGGACACTGCAGGGGGGGATTTGGGAGGTCACTGAGGCCATGTGAGGTCAGGGTGCTGAGGTGGGCTTGAAGAATGGTTCGATGCGATGGGGGACCTCTGGGATGAGGGTGGGACAGGAGTCCCCCATCTCCAGCATGGCCAGAGGATGGGAAAAGGCAAAGAGGAACCCAGAGGAGGGACTGGAGCTGGCAGGAGGTGGGAATGGGGGAGGCAGCCTGGCTTGGGGTGGGCAGAAGATAACCTGGGTGGCAGAGGGGAGGTCCTGGGATTTGAGGGTGAGCAGGTCATGGGGACAGGGAGGTCACACTGCAGGACGGGGGTCTGAGGGCTGAGATACTGGTCTGGGGGGCTGATTTGGGAGTGGGATGGGGCCAGCACAAGGGCCCCCAGCCAGGGATGGTCTGAGGGATGCTGGTGTCAGCGCAGGGGGGCAAGAAGCACAATGGAGGTTCTAGCACAGAGGGGATGGGGAGGAGAGCAATGGGTGCTGGTGCAATGGGGACAGGGCACTGGGCAGTGCTGGTGCAATGGGGATGGAGCACTGGGCAGTGCTGGTGTAAAGGGAACTGGTGCAATGGGGATGGAGCACTGGGCAGTACTGGTGCAATGGGAACTGGTGCACTGGGAACTGGTGCACTGGGGATGGGGCAGTGGGAAGTACTGGTGCAAAGGGAACTGGTGCAATGGGGATGGGGCAGTGGGAAGTACTGGTGCAATGGGAACTGGTGCAATGGGAACTGGTGCAATGGGGATGGGGCAGTGGGAAGTTCTGGTGCAAAGGGAACTGGTGCAATGGGGATGGAGCAGTTGGGAAGTACTGGTGCAATGGGAACTGGTGTAATGGGGATGGAGCACGGGGCAGTGTTGGTGCAAAGGGAACTGGTGCAATGGGCAGTGCTGGGTGCTGGTGCAAAGGGAACTGGTGCAATGGGGATGGGGCAGTGGGCAGTACTGGTGCACTGGGAACTGGTGCAATGGAGAGGGAGCACTGGGCAGAACTGGTGCACTGGGAACTGGTGCAACGGGGATGGAGGACTGGGCAGTACTGGTGCACTGGGAACTGGTGCAACGGGGATGGGGCAGTGGGCAGTGCTGGTGCAAAGGGAACTGGTGCACTGGGAACTGGTGCAATGGGGATGGAGCACGGGGCAGTACTGGTGCACTGGGGATGGAGCTGTGGGGAGTATTGGTGCAATGGGAGCTGGTGCAATGGGGATGGGGCAGAGGGCAGTACTGGTGCAATGGGGATGGAGAACTGGGCAGTACTGGTGCAATGGGAACTGGTGCAACGGGCAGTGCTGGATGCTGGTGCACCGGGAACTGGTGCAATGGGGATGGAGCACGGGGCAGTACTGGTGCAAAGGGAACTGGTGCTATGGGGACGGGGCAGAGGGCAGTGCCGGTGCAATGGAGCCGGGGCAGAGGGCAGTGCCGGTTCACCGGACGCTGTCGCAGTGGGGACGGGGCCGAGGTGCCGGTGTTCCGGTGTCCCGGGGTGCGGGCAGAGCGCGGGGGCGGCGGGGGGGGACCGTTCCCCTGCTGCATCTCGGCCGGTGCGGCGGGCGGCCCCCCCATCTCCACCGGCGCGTCGCTGCCCCTCTCCGTCGCTAGGCGGCCCGTTCCGTCCCGTCCCGTCCCGTCCTGCGCGGGCGCGGAAGCGCCGCCCCCGGAAGCGGCGGGCGGGCAGGCGGGCGGGCAGGCGGCGGGTTGGG